CTTTATGCACAGAATAATGATATATATCAACTGAGAGATAATATAATAATAATGAATCAACTTAATAATTATTGATAAAATTGATAATGCAATTATTAATACATTATCAATTTTATCATTTAATTAATGCACACGACAAATAATTTTTGATAAATGACTATCTTTTTATCTTTTTCAATATTTAATATTGAATTTAACTTAAATATTCTTAAAAAATTTAAAAAAATTATTGTATCTTTCTTACTTATTTTACACAAGTTTGTTAAAGGACAAAAATAAATCCCCTCCCTATTCTTCTGTATCTTATGACTCTATCATGTCATTCCATTTGTAAGGTTATTAGATTATTAATACAGATTTATGTGCAATTATACTATTTAATTTCATTGTCGAAACAACCACGTCATCCTTTTTAATATTATTCTAACTGTTTACCTTCCCTTTTTTATAGTAAAACTCAATTGAAATAACAAATTATTTTTTTTTCTTACATTATTTCTCTCTCTCTCTCTCTCATCTTATAACCTCATTATATATTCTCAAACCCACCTAAATTTATAAATATTTTTTTTCATCCAATCATAACTCATTCCTTAACTTAATTTATTTTTTTTCTATTCCTTTTATTTATTTACCTATTACTTATTCCAACAGTTTTGCACTTTTAGTTTTATAATAAACAGGTATATGTTCGTAATAATAATCACTTCTCACACTCACACATTCTCTCTCTCTCTACTCTAACATTACGTCATTCTTATGTTTTTCAACACTTATGTTAATATGTATCATCTAGTTCTTAATTTACATATAAAGAACATATAACTTCTGCTATTATTTAATCCGTTCACTAAATTTTATATTTCAACAATTTTAAATATTCTATCGCAAAAGTTTTCTCTCTCTCTCTCTCTCTTTCTCTCACTATAAATATATATATATGTATACATATATATATTTATATTATCTGCGCCATTCCATCTATCAACCATTCCTACAGTTACACATCATACAATTCTTGATTTCTCATCAATATAACCTCTCTACATTTCGTTCATCTCATTTCCTTCTCTTTTCGCATTTGTATTTTTCGACAATTAAATACTTATATCTTATCAACCTTATCTTCTCTCTCTTCTTCCTTTACATTAACCGCATATGTCAAGTTGAAAACCATATCACTTACTTTTTGTCAGGAGGGAGGGTTCGACCTTCTCACGCAATAATGTCGTATCTTTCCTTGTTTAAATTGTAATAACACAGGAATCAGTACAAATAAAACAAATAACGGAAAATCTGTTTCCCCATGCAATCGAATGACTATGATCAATAAGTACAACGCGCTGCGACCGCTACGTGTATATGAGACGCATGATTTCCCAAACAGGATATTAGCAAATGACAGAAAAGAGAAAGAGAGTAATATGGCGGAAGGAATCCGATAAAGGGGAAGGAGAGGGAAGAGTAAAATGAGGAGCTGCGCACTAGTACACGTTCAAAGGAATAGAGAACACGAACAGAGGATGCGATTCACTTTAACACTGCAAATGCTTCGTCGACCAATGAGAAGAAAGAATTTTATGAATTGACCAATCAAAAAGTGCTTCCAAGCATTTGCAACGTAAAATAGATCGCACTTAGAAAATCAGCGCGTTCAAGGTGGACAAAATTGCTTGCCTGCTCGCTGAGTAATTGAATATGATTGGTTCGATCTATCATGGAGGAACGAAAGAAGTTGCACTCGTTCTCGAAACGAATTTCGTATCGTTCTGCGCAGATACTAAATGCGACCATTGAACCATTTGCTTCGCGGTAATTTTGAAGTGACATAATGACTCGTGACATCGAAACATTCATCGACGAGATACTATTAAGGACATTATTGTGTCCAGTGTACAGGAGCCATTATTGTTTTAATTATCTAGTTATAGCGTCAAGTTGTCATGAATTATAAAAATTAGATGATATCTATTAAATTTGTTTTAAGTTTTTTTTTAAGCGCGTAAATACTCAAATTTTGAGTTTTTTTCCATAATCTTCTTGATCTTGTCTAATTTAAAGTAATTTTTAAAAAATACTTGTAATGTTATTTAAAAACCAAAATCTGACTCTATAGAAATCTTTTAAAAAAAGAAATCAAAAGGATCTCATGACAAAATGTTTCCTCTACAAAACAAAATATGATAATACAGATATGTCTCTGCACAGCGAATAAGTTAGATCAATTAGCCATTATTTCTACTGATTCTTAAAATTTTAAATATATCATTATGCTCTTGAAATTGATTGATAATCACTATCGCAATCTTCATATATAACTTTCTCTTAATCCATTTGTAATTAATGCTTCTTCATTTTTCCTTATAATCTAATAATTACAGAGATGGAATTTTTAAAATTCGTATGATCAAATAGGATGTAACATATATTAATACAAAAAAGCGTAGATCTCTCATATAATCACTCCTCTTCAAGTTTTACATAAAACCCCATAGCAAAAAACGTCACATTCATATAATAAATTTAATAGTTACGAATAAATTGTGTTACAGTGACATCATAATTTATTTGTGACATTATCTTGATCTGTATATGTCATAGCAGTGTCACAGTAAAGTGTCACAGCAATTTTTATCACAGCTGTATAATATCATAACAAAATTGTATCTGTAACAAAACGGACATTCTCAACTTCTTAACTTTGTTGTGATATTACGTACATCTGTAATAAAGTGGATTCGCGCGCAATGATTTTGTTGTCATATTATTGTGATTTTGTTTGCTATGGAAGAAATTACATGTGTAATGTAAATCTGTTTAATATTACGAAGCGAATACAATATGTATAATTCTCACATTTAAATACTATGATACAAATAAATAATGTAATTTTTATAATTTTCACAAAACTATTATGAATAGAATATTATTATGTAGCAGTAAGAGAAGAAAAACAAATTATTATATTTTTATTGTAGATTCTATATTAAGCAAATCTGTACTATGATGATGAGAAACTTTTTTTTCTATTTTATTCGTTTAATCCTTTGCATCTTAAAAAGTAAAAATTGCATTTGTAATAAATAGTTAACTGTCTTGAGATAAAATAATTCGACTATTTATATAATATATTACATTCCTTACATACTAATCATTCATATTTAATAAATATATTCCTATACATATAAATTACAGAAAAAAGTAATAAGTTTGACATTTTTTTTATTCTTAACTTATAAATATAAAATTCTGTAATGACTATTTTCATTTAAAATTACAAGAGATTAAAAAATACACCAGTCAAAAATTTAATCTTTCCTGTTATAAAAATACAACTTATGTATGCGCACTTGAATCTGTTCAATAGATCACTAGAATCTGTGCATTCAAATCTTCCTGTTTTTAATATGTCGGGATTAAGCAAATATCCTTTTTTTTTTAATTCTTTCCGCCAATCTCTATTTTTATTGTAATAGCATATGCAAAATAAAAATATCGTTGCGTCAATTACATTAATAAGATAAAAATATTCATATTCATATTAAAAGTATTCTTTTTTATTCACTTTCTCATTTTACGAAAGGTTGCATAAAGCATTTTAGATCGCAAAAGATAAAGATAAAATTTTAAAGAGGGATTAAAATGTTAAGTGTAAAAGAAATATTAAAAATAGGAAAATTTAGTTATACCAATGTTGCGACTTTCAATTTAAAAAACATATATGCATGATAAATTTTATTATATACATACTTGTATATAATAAATGATTAAATATATTATAAGCGGCTCAATTTGTATATAATAAATTACATTCTACAAGTTCCATGTGAAACATATAAAATAGTGAATAGTAATATGGCACGCGCATACATATATATCTACTCTTATCATACGCTGTTTTATATACACACTCACTCTCTCTTTCTCATACTCCTCTATACACACAAGTATGCGCACACACACCAGACTTAAAAAATGAAAAAAGTAATATCTAGTTAAGTATAACCCCGAATTAACTGTGTCTAAGGAAAATCGCGCAAATCAATTTGAGCAAAACAAATGCGGACTTAATTGCTGCAATTTTAGAAGCAATATAGACATGTTATTTGAAAGATATCCCAAACCTACTGCATCGTCTGTTAGATAGATTGAAGAAGAGATCATTTAGCCTAACGCCACAATGTAAGATTTTCCCTATATCAATTTTTAAATTAAAATTATTTGAAGTTGCTAATTACATTCCCAAAAATTTAAATATTCAAATATAGCAACAATAGTAAACATGACACAATAGAAAAAATAAATAAATATTGGTATATATGTATGACATTAATTAAAACTTTGGCGTATATGTATCACATATTCTAATGTCAGTATTCCATAATATTTAGATTATTATTAAAAATAAGAATGCAATTACAGAATTATCATTTTATGATTGTTTTTTTCAATTCAATCAAATATAAAATGTGTATGCAAGCTTTCGCAGTTTGGATCGTCTTTTAATGTTAAAGAAAATATGTCAAGAATCGAAACGTCCATTTTTATTTAATGTATTGGATATTTCAAGAAGTTCAATTATCGGTTTGATTTCTTTACACGCCAAGAACTGCGCAGGATGGCATAGGCATTTTACATTTTCTTGATACTTTTTTTTATTGAGTTAATATATACTTCAAATTATCTTTTTTTATTCCTTCTAACTGGCAATATTTTTATAAATTTTTTAAAACAAACTTTTTAAATTTTAATCATGATTTGAAAAAATCAATTTTTTTAACTTGAATAAAATTAAATATAACAAATAGATAATGTCTCCCAAAATCAATAAATAAAATATTAAGATAAAGTATTTTTAATTTATTATTCATTAAATAAACTACGTTAATATTTAAAAATGAATTAATATCTTAGAGCAACTATTATGTGATGTTTGAACGCGTGTTGTCATTTAATTGACTAGATTCAAACTTTTTATTTAAAATAATTACAGCCTCGATTTTAATATTAGAATTTTCAAATAATCATTGGAATTTGCTAATAACAGAATTAATAGATCTAAAATACGTTACATATAAATTCACACATTTTAAAGCAAACGTTTAAATTGCTATTACTTGTAATATTATTTTTCATATATAACTGCTTCTTGAGCATTCCTTCTTGTAGTTTATTTTAGTTCCTTTCTTTTTTAAATAAAAAAGTCATTATTTATATCATTAAGATTCCAAGAGATTTTTTTATATTTGACGTTTCTGGTAAAGAAAGAGCCCATTTTCTTAAGCCTGTTAACAAAACTGAGCTAGTGACTAATATAGCCCCGCCTACAGAATATCTATTTGGTATTTCATTAAAAAATAATACTTGCCAAAAAAACGCAAAAACAATATCTGTAGATCTTGCTATGGCCACTGGACCAGCTTGTTCGATCTGAAGGGCTAAAGTTAACAAGATTTGACCTGCAAAACTAAACAGTGCGAGTGCAACAACTAAAACTCTATCAGTCCCACAATGTGGCATACATAATGCACCAATTGCCCATGATATAAGCGTAGTTTGAATCAAAGCAAATGAACCAAAATTTGTCATTATAACAGAGAAATGAAGACCTTTTAACGCTCGTAGTAAAACATATGCGTTTGCACCAAATAAAGTAGCTGAGAAAGCAGCCATAGCACCCCATAAATCTGCATGTTCTGACTTAACTTGACCATCTGAGAGAGATTCTACAGTATGACTAAAAATTAATGACGGTCGTGTAATCAATATCACACCAATCAATGTTAAACATACAGTAATAACGTTAAATAATCCACAAGGTTCTTTCAAAAATACCCGTGCAAATATTGCTACAAATACAGGAACAGAAAATACAATAACTGAGGCATCGGCCAACGGCATATGTCTAAATGCGTAGAAACTTAACATAAGTCCTGTTGTACCAATAAAACTTCTCAGAATAAGTATCAGTCTATGGCCTTTTGGAAAAGGATGTTCACCTTTATAAATCACAATTGGTATAGCTGGTAACAATACCCCAAAAAACCTAAAGATTGCCATTTCTGTTGGATTTATCTCGACTAAGCTCTTAACTATTACACTACATAGTGAAAAGAATAGAGACGACAGTGTTGCTAATACTAGACCCATATAAGGACATGATTTACACAACAGAGTAAAAAACTTTCTTTTATGATTTGTTGTGTTATTTTCCACATCAGCATCCACTAGATGCTGCAATTCCACATGCTCTGACATATCTGTAAAAAATATAACGTATAAAGATAAGTACATTTAGATACATAATATACAATAAAAATAATAAAAAACGAAAATAACATTTTAGATCACAGGATACAATTTTGAGATTGTAAAATGTTCTTGTACAAATCTTATTCTATTAATGCTAAGTAAAAGTGTCATTACAACAATAACTAAAGCTATAAAATAAAAGATAAAATTAAGATTTAAAATATATATATAAAAATTCGTCTGTCATCTTGATTCTGCCATTCACACAGACTTCTATGACTACACTGACTGAATATGATAGAAAGAGATGAACCTGATTCCAAGTTGTTCTTGTTTCAGTTCACATATGCGTAACATACATTCTGTTTGTATGAGTGTGAATTTATGTGAAAACAGAAACATTAATATTAGTTGTGTGATTTATACACAACAAATGAACACAAATATGGAACTGTCCAAGGCTGTCTTCAAACATAGAGACGAAGTCGGCAGTCTATTTATAGAAGTCTGTAGGTATTCGAAAATCTTGACCTCAGATTTAGATGTAGCGACCAACATACCCAGAAACTAAAGTTTAAGATAATAAGATTATTTTTTTCGTTTTTGGTCCATCACTGGTCCCGTCATTTTGAATTTGAAAATTTTGATTTCAGATTAGAATTCGGTGATCCAAAAAACTCTTAGAGCACCATTATAAGAGATATTTAAACTATTTACTTGGATTAATATTGATTTTTCCATATTTTTTGAAGACTATCAATTTATAATGAAAAAACATAACAAAAAAATCTGAAAAATTCTGAAAAATATTAAACGTTTTAAATGAGTGCTTAAATTGTCGTTTTGATATTAATAATAATTCGATTAAAAAATGCATTTTTTTTTTCAAAAAAGCACAAATTTTGACTATATGTTTATAGTTAGAGTAATTATGGAAATAAAAATGTATGGTTGCCTACTTTTTTAAACATTTATTTATGTTCTACGAACACTATGAAAACAAAAAAAAACCTGTACGTCAATAAATTCATCAAAATAATTAAAAACTGAACGCAAAAAGATGAGACTCCTGTCATGACACAAAGGATTAAAGATTTCTTCTCAAGATCAACTAAAATCACGATCTTCTTTCCCTCTTGTAACTGAACAACTTTTGTCGGAAACGTTTTTGTATTTAATTTAAGGATTGTGAAATATTTTATTGGATGAATTAAAATGGACTAATCTGTATATAAGATTATATATTTGTACATAGAATATTATATGTTTCATATTAGTGTGTAAAAAAAAGAATAATTATTGAATCTTATATTATTATAGTATACTTATAGTACTTATTGAACAATATCATAGTTTTACATTTGAAGGAAAGAGATAATTGATTCGTTTCAAAATAACATTTTACATTAAAAATTTTGAACAATTTTTTTATTTGATTTTTTAATCTCACTTATAATAGCTTGATTTATAAAGATAACAAAACACAAATAATTGATATCTTGTTATTCTGTTAATCAAAATAATAGCGAAAAGCATACATATATGGTATTAGTAACTAATGATATCAAAAAACATAGAATTATAATATCTTGTAGCGAAAATTATATAATGTCCAAGAGATACTAGGATTTTACAATTATCAAGTATTTTTTTATAAATTTAATCTTATTAAAGAAAGAAACTTAATTATTGAATCGTGCACGTGACAACCAAGAAATAAAGGGCATTAATTTTTAGATTAAGAAATAAAAGGCATTAACGGTCGAAGCTGTATCTTAAGTGCTTAATAATTCAATACCACATATGTCGTCATTTATCTAATTAATGTTAAAGAAATAATACAAAATTGTAATTTTTATATAAATAATTATAGTAAGTATATTTAGGGTGCTATACAGCAAGAAACACAAATGACACAGTGAATCATTATATTTTTGTTTGCCAATGTTAAACAAAGATGAAATGATCACTATGCTACACTGCTTTATGCTACACCATTAATTAAATATTAAAGTAAAAAGTAATCAATTTAAATTCTATATTATTCAATTGCATATAGAGAATTTTGTCGATACTTACTTATAGTTATATTAATTTATTTGGATTTCATCAAACGAGTTGTACGTAAACAACCATAAAATTATGTATCAAATAATACAGTCACAAAACGTAGCCTAGATGGAGAATAAAAAACCAATCAAAATTTGCTTTGTCACCTTATGTAATTAAATGTATGTTTATTTTATATTTAATCATTAGTAGCTATATTTTAACAATCACGCTGTCAACTCTATATTGATGACAAAACTATATTATAAGTTACTTTACATTCATAATTCATGAATGATTATTTTACTTCTAACGCCTTCTTTGTATTTATTTCTATACTTATTCTCTAATTATTGTCTCATTTATTAATGTGAAACAGTAATAATCTCTTATAACAAAATATTTTACCGTTTGATAGTAGATGTATTTATATTTGTTATACTTTCTTGCATTTTCTATCTTTAAATAAATTAAATTTGTATCTTTGAATGAGGAAAGAGAGAAGAAATAAATATAAAATATGCAACTAAAACGAGTAGATATAATTTTCACTAATGTTCGTATCAAGCCACAGACAGAAAGAAGCCTGAGATAGCTGAGAACACTGCTACGATTACTATCAGGGTAACCAGGTTGTCCAATACCAATGTCGTCAATCTAAGGCGCTGAAATCGCCCAATGCTTTCCAATATCAGAGAGGAACTTGAGAATGGACATTCCGGCCTTTTTTTTGTACCAAATCTTGTAAGATATTGTCCATGATTTCGTGATTCTCTTCCTTGATGATGAATAATCAATTTTAATTAATTATCCTTGTCTAATCCACGCAATAGCATAGAAGAGAATCACAAAAACGTGGCCATTATCCTATGAGATTTGATATATGAAAAAGACCGCGGAATGTCCATCATGTCCATGTCTCTCAGGTTACTCTCTGTCAATATCTAGTTTAGCAAAAGGGACTAAGGCCCGTTTCTATCAAAGTTAATGAATTAATCACTAGTGACATTTGTTTAATCAAAGTTTAGCACAAGATATTGGATTCTATCAAGTTTTTGCTCAAATTTAAACGTACACAAATCGAGTTTAAATTGAATGATCAATTTTGGCCGTTTAGAGAGTTAAACTACATTGAGAAATATTATTAGTAAACATGGCATTTCAGTAAAAAATTTTTCATACATGAATATATATATAAATATATATAAACACACATAAACATGTATAAATATTTAAACATATATAATTATATATATGAGCAATTATTTTACATTTCTCCAACTTGATATTTTATAAAACAAATAATACAAAAATTATCCTTTTAATTATTTTTAATTATTTTAAATTGTTTTAAATGAATTGATATAAGAATTATGTACGCAAAGTGAAGCTAATGATCTTATGATATTATATCACATTGTTGATGTAAAAAAACATTTTATTATCTTTTGACATGACGTAATTCCCATTTTTTAATATCTACAGAAACTTGACAGCAGCAGTAAAGAAGGAAAAGTAGAATAAGCAGACTTTTCCAGGATCCTACAGACAAAAATTTTCATCTTAATTTTAACTTATTTATAATACAAGAATTATACTTTAGATTTGAAAATATTGAAAATATTGAAATTTTTAATAGTAAAAAATAAAATGTACGCATTTTAATAATATTAGTACGCAATATTTATAGAAAATAAGATAACAGATATATAATCTCTCTATACGAAATGTAGTAAACAAAATGCGACATATAAAAAATAGAATACTAAAATAAATATAATGAACTTGCCATGTATTATTTTCTGTGTAAAGATATTTCCAATATCTTGGCCACCCAAAAAGTAAAAATTAGATATCGCTGACATTACTAAAAGAGGGCTTGCCAGTATGCAATGAAGTCTCTTAGTATTTCTTGAAGATAAATGTGTGTTCTGCATTTTATAATATTGTTTACTTTTGCCAATTGATGTTCCTATATCTTCAATTACTATTCCTATAAAATTGAGCAGTGCCCAAATAAAGATATTCATTTGTATCCCATGCCATATAAAGACAAATGTGAAACATAAAAATGATGCAAATAGTTTTCCAAAACATCTATTTGATTTTCGTATAGGAACATAGATATATCTGTAAATAGAATATTAAAATATTAAAAGAAATATAAGTCTATATTATAATACAATATATACAATATATATTTTTTTGATTATTGTAACAGAATAAAATACATGTGTAGTAGATAAATTTAAACTTTAAAATTCAAATTTACCTTATTAGAAATTTGTATAACCCTCTATCAAAATGTTTCCACATGTCAGAATATAAATGTATTCTAGCTATGCATTTAGGTTGTGATGGCGCTTTTATATCATCCAAATAACATAAATTACTGCATGTTCCATATATTATAACATATTTATTGAAAAAAAATTGTCCCATGCAATACCCTAAACCAAATAGTTCCCAAGAATTCAAATTTTGTAAAACCTATACAAAACAAAATATATTCTTATGTATACTTGTAATATGTATACATACCTTATATACAAAAAGAATTATTACCTGCAAATGATATTGTATAGCATTTACATAAATAAAATGTAACAACAATTCAGTAAAAAAACACCAGAACATATATCTAATTAAATTTAACATAAATGTTAAAAATTTTTGACAATTCCAATACTGATGTGGCTGATTAATCTGAAAAAATAAAATATTCATACTTTATTGAACTTTATGACTCTTTAACATGTAATATAAATATTTAAACATACAGATTCCACAAATTCATGATACAAAATAAGTGGTCCTAAAAATAATGTAGGCAGGTATAAACAATATGCCAGTTTTTGAATAAAGTTATTTGAGCTGGAAAATTGGTCATCAATACTATCCATATTGTGACTGATACTTCTTAAATGTATCCAACACATCACAAGTGTTAAAATATAATGCTTCTCATCAGTAATTCCTAACCAACTTTGAAAAGGACCATTAGGAATTTTTAATATGTGTATTACAAACATATACAAAACATGTATAGTCCATGCTGCATTCTTACTGCATATACATGTCATTATATGTAAAAAAGTAGGTTGGAGTATTGTACATAACATACCCAATATACCCAAATAATAATAAAGAAAAACTATAGATGATAAAATATACCAACAGCATAATGTCTGAAAAATTTCTGTATTATTTCTTTCTGATATTATCCATAATTCTTCCTGCATCATATTTTGCATATAACTATCATACCATATTATTACTATTGACTTTAATAATTTGACTGATAAAATGATGTATAAAAACACACGGTATCAGTCTATTTACTAATGTAAGCCATACAAGCCATTCTTGATCAGAAGTGTCTCGTTTCTTTCCAATCCAAGACCATCCTGAATCAAAATCACTGTATATATCATTATAATCACTGAAATCTAAAAATAAATCATATATAATTAAAATCATTATTATAACAATT